GCACTTTAATGCTTTAATAATCAAATATCATTTGAAGGGAGTTGCAGAAAAGTTGCAGAAAAATATCCCCCTCTTCATTTCTTTCTTCTTTCTAATTTTAGTACTTTTTAATTTTGTTTTCTTTATTATATGTTATTTTTGTACAAGGTTTATTAGTCTTGTGACCCTTTATTCACATATACATGGTTCATGTGTTTATTTTATAAGTGTTAGTACCTTGCATAGCCTCTCAGATCTCAGAACATAAATTAATGCAATTCTGTGAAGGTCTTTGGCGTGGATCATTTATGAACAAGTAATCCCTTTGTGGTGGAGCTTGATGTATTTAGTTACATCCTTTTATTGGACAGGACAGAGGACGCAGCAGACAGGACAGAGGGGAGAGAGAAATGGTCTAAGGTAGACTTGCACTGAGGCCTACAGAAGTGCTGCAAGTTGTCATTTTTAAACATGAACAGCAGTTAATGTGAAATAATGTGTTTATTAAAGATTAAAAAACTCTATTTAAGCCTTTAAAATGTAACTGACAAATAAAATCAAAAGAAGAGTAAAGTAGCTGGTGAGTGTATATTTGAGTAAACTCAATATTTTGTGTCTTTAAGTAATGTGTTGTCCAAAGTGTTACAAAGTCACCAGTTCTTTTATAGTTTGCTGTTAAATTGACAGTGACGTCACTAAAACATTTTTTTCCCCTCTTAGTTTTACTGAAACAAAAAAATATTTGCATTGTTAAAACTAACAGATGAAGACTGTGACTGAAGCTTGTGTTTGATAAAAAATGACTAAAACAGCTCGGTTGCTTGAGGGTTAATTATATGACACAGTGACTCTTTCCATTTCTTTGCATGTAATCTTAAAACCCAGTTAAAAGCAGCTGTGTCCCTTCTCCTTCATAATGCAAAGTCATTTTATGGTTTTACACCTCGGCCATCTAAAGCTTTGCCCTGCATGTGTTTTATTTATTTTTACTTTTTCCATCCCTCCTGTAGCGCCCTTAAACATGCTTCTTTTAAATGTTGTGCTACTTTAATAACTCACTCAGCATCTGGCCTGGGATAACAGCTGGAAGGCAAGCATTTGGAATATTTACAGCGGTGTTACAGTTGTAATACTGCAGTGTCTTGTAGCGTGCAATAGACCGCTGGTTACGACCACAGCTACAGTCACTGCTCCCTCAGTTGTGGCTGCACCGGCTCAAGCCTGCACCGCTGTGTTTAGAGAGATACGTCGAGCAGCTAACTCTCGCGCTCTGTGGCTGACCACAGCCGGGACTGACTGCAGATCTGATTGTGACTGCAGCCAGATGATGACAGCTGTCCCCGCCGCTGTGGCTGCTTTGTTTGTCATGACTCGGGCTGTGACACGCCAACTACATGCAGCATCAGAAGTGTACTGAAGCTACTGCGCTCATGAGGTCCTGTGGTGTGTTTGTAATACATGTGCTACAGACAAACCACAGTTTACTCAGCAGAAACACACGTTCAGAACACCACAGATTCACACCAAGCTACATTTCAGGCAGGTAGTGTATAAACCCACCAACTGTACGCATGAGGTAAAACACAGGAGGGGACTGCAACAACCATGAAATCATTCCCCATTATGACCTTTTGGGGGCTCTGAAGATTGTCAGAATATTTGCTGGTAAAAAAAATTAGATGTAAATTGGGTAAACTTCTTAACTACAATATTTTCAAATAAAATCTAAACATCCTGCATTAAAATTAAAGACAGTATTCCCTGTTTGTGATACATTTTCATAATGGTTTGGTATATTTACTGGCTTGTTGTGTTTTATTTCTGTGTTTTTGTTTTTAAGACGCGTTCCATATATTTCTCCTCTGATTTTTACCTGTTATAGTCGACTGAGAAGCTTCCAATACATATACATAAAGTTGTGGTCAGAAGTTTACAGATGTTATTTATATGCACAAACAAAGAACCTGAAGTCATCAAATAAACAGAAATTTTTGGCTTCACGGTTCTTCTGTTTGGTTGAACGTAAGCTGAACAACTCTAACTGGCTCGTTGTTGACCTGGTGGAGGTTAAACAGACAGTCGCTGCTTACCTGAAGGGTCTGAGAAAGTTTCACAAAGTCCTTCTGAACCTGCTCGCTGACGTCCAGCTCGGTCTGCAGCCGCTGGGCTTTGTCTTTGTCGTCGAGGACTTGACTTTCAAGTGCACTCTACAAGGACATGCGCACACAGGTTCGTTCAGAAAGGCTACACAGTCTCAGTATTTAAAATAAAATGCTAAAGTGAAACAGAAACATCACTGCTGAATATTTTTACGGGTGCTTTTTTTATATCGAACAGACTGGGCCTCATAAAGCTGTCAGTAAACTGCTGTCGTGACACGAGGTTGGGATTTTACTGAAATATGAGCTGCTCGGTGGATCAGATGCTGCATAATCTGTCAGATCCTGATAAACTGTATAAAATCCCACAACAGATGACGATGATGATGTTACTGATCGAGTTAAAGTGACTTTTTGGACAGGGGTGGTTGTGGTGGATCAGCGGATAAATGTGCGTGCCAAACACGGACCTTTGCAGTGGTGAGCTCTTTGAGCTGCTGCTCCAGGCTGATCCTCAGGCCCTGGAGGCTCCTCAGTGTCTCCGTCTTCTCGGCCAAACTGCTCTCCAGCTACAAAAACGATGTTACGCAAATAATCAGTCGACAAATAAATGAGATGCAGAGATGTTGATAAAAGATCAAGGCAGATTCTATGAGCAGTGGTAAAATTAATAATAAGGTTTAAATGACATCTGATCATATCAGCACTGCATTTTATTAAGTACGTGAACTTTATAGCTCTTTATCTCAAAAAAGTCCTACATGTGCAATCATTGCAATGACTGAACAAATGATAATTTCTCTATTAATCTATATTGATTTATTTCAATAAATGCAAAATAATGTGCCACCTACAGGACTTGAGTGTCTCAGTGGGTAGATTAGCGGTTTTATGTGTTGAGGCTTTTTTGGTCTCTTTAGGGCAGGCGTGGGGAACTCCAGACCTCAAGGGCCGGTGTCCTGCAGGTTTTAGCTGTTTCCTTGATCCA